ACTTATTCTCGTCCACTTCGGGTGAACTGAGCGAGATAACACTTCACTGCTTATGAATCACTTGTCTGGTTCGGCCAGATAGAATTCTCGGGTCAGTAGGACGGTGCAGATTACCAGAGGAGAAGCTTCAAAGCTTTATGGCGTGCGTCACTAAAACGTTTTATCGAATGGAAACCAAATAGAATTCCACATTTTGAGACGTGAAGCCGGATTGTCACTTCCAACTTTGGACCATCTACTTTATCTGTGCCTAGGACATAACTAAAGCATGCACGGCAGCAGATTATTGACTACCGTCTTCGCTTCATAGATGTCGATTAAGGTAAGCTGTCGCCCCCAGCGTAAAATATTCAAACCTTGGATGCAATCCCAGACGCATTCCGTTTGCTTCATTAGGTTTTTAGAACAAAACTAATCCCAGTATACAGCGAGACAACATAAGCGACGAGAGTAATTTTTCTTGAGAGCGTTGCGCAAGTTTTTTTTATTATTACACACATTCATATGATGAATAGAAGTCGGGTAAACTCCGTGGTTACGAGGACCTGCTGCTCAGTGATGGAAACCGGCAACCGAGACTTGGAGTGGTAAACCACATAAGGCCCCGATAAGTTAGGCGTGGTATTGAACCGGACGAGAGCAAAACTGCCTACCACCAAGTTTGAGAGGGCTTTCAATGCTCAATTTTTCGAGAAGTTCGTTGATTCGAAGTTCCTCACAATGGTATGTCTTCGATTTTAGATCTTGCTATGCACGGGAAGTCCTAAAGTCTTGAACGCTAAAGGTGGTGACCAACTTAATTATTTTCTGTCCCTTTTTTGAATCCTGCAAGACTGTCTTCGTTACTGCGGACCGAAGTTTTGTCATAGGTGCCGAATGCATCAAATGAGCTTTGATTACATAATTTTTGTGCAGAGTGCCTAATATCATCATCGTACAGTGAGATGCAGCGATGCGAACTTCACTGATCGCTGCCAAGCTCACAATGTACACATACGTATATTGACCTCCACATGGTTTCTTTCAACCTGAAGGCGCAGGTGAGAATAAGGCGCGCTGCGGTAGACGACANACTAATCTGAATCCGATGGGACAACGAATTCTCCCTCGAATCATTACCAGATACGCGACGCTTTACCTCGGAGTTGCCTACACGATCGCTCCATCCAACCCGCACAAAACTACGTAAACATCTGCAGTCGAAGACTTGTAGACAACGAATAGCTTCCATTAGCAGATGTAGGGCCTTGCAACCATAAAGCAGAACTGACCGCACGCTGGTGCAGTGTACATGACCTTTCAGTTTCAAAGAAACATTGCGTCCAAAGGTGTTTCAGTTCTGCGTAAGCTGCTCGAGCCTTGGAAATGCGGGCATTTACTTCATTGACTATGCTACCGTCATTTGCCGAATAGGACCTCCATTGTCAGGTGAACTGCTCAAACGCTTGCTGCCACAAATCCGACTGGGTTATCAAGTGTGCGCTGCAGCAGTTCTCCCTTTGCTTCTACGTAGTGGGGATAGTTCGTCGTTATAAGAACAGGACAGAGACTAACTATCAACGATGGAAAACTGCAGTCTACAACTACTGCTCGAATCCAGTTGAAACCGCACGAACAGTGTTAAGGCTGGGTGCTTTCTTGCCTATGTTAAGTAGCTAAGCACACGTCCGTAGCACGTGCACGTGTAGCCTGTCTGTAAGTCACCGAGCAAGCAAATGTACAAGCGGTTCGCAGAAAAAATGAAAAAGCAAGCGCAAGCGATATATGCTCGGACCGACATGTCAGTATCAAATATCATCCGTCCGAGTATGTCTTCACTAACAGGCGCACATTCGTCTTACAAAAGTGCCGATTTGTGATGGCTATGAGTCTAACATGACAACCACAGAGTTCCGTTATCTCGGTCGCACATGAGAACGAGTGCTCGACCTCCGTGGTTTACGATGATCATGCGTTACACATGCTAACATGTAATCCTCCGAGATGTGTTTGCTGCAAGTGGTAAAAGTGACAGATGACCAAGGAAAATCCAAGGTTTGTTATTAGAGCACAAAAGCTCTGACCGGGGGACTTTAACAAAGAAGTCTCGTTAGGCTTTCCGGTTGCGGACCTTGGGGTTAATCTAATCAGGTGGTGGTGGCGCAGTGGTGTAGTCACTGTCACCGGCGTGCTGGGCATCCTGTGGTCCGAGGTTTGAGCCCCGCCACCCAACTTTGGTGGCAGGTGGCTTTGCTGCCGTCCGGTTCAGTACTACGCCTAACCCAGCGGAGTCTTATGTGGTTTGCCACTCTAAGTCCTGGGGTTTAAGGAACACGTTTCCATCACTGAACAACTGGTCCTCGTGACTATGAGGTTCGCCCTGTCTGCTGTTCATCACACTACAGTGTAATAAGAAAAGGTCTGCCCGATGGGTAGATACACCGTAGTGTGGCTGCCGTGAACAGTGGTTCATTATAGAAAAATTAGGAAAAATTTAGGAAATTTAATTTCATTGTTCTGTATCTTTTTACCCTGGTACTGCCCTCATCCTTCTAAAATCTTCTTCATCAACATCACCGTTCAATCAAATGAGCGGTCGGAAAACTGCAACCAAAACTTCAAGGTAAATTTAAAATGCTGACTACCTCGGAAAATGTACTTTAAGGAAATTCATCAGAAGGCGAGAGTAATAAACCTTGGTCTCGAAGTGAGTTTTAGTGCCCGATCATTCATCGTTCAGCGCATGAGATGGATTAACCCAGTGCATGAAATTGACCAAACCCCTCGAGAGCAAATGACCATAGATTGATCATGTAGTAAGTAATAATGGGATAAGCAATAGAAGGAGTATCCGCGAGATCTCTAGGACTCATTATTCCTTTAAGGAAATGGGCAGCCTAAAACAGGACAATTTAAGACGCTCATGCAAAATAGATCAAGCGTTTACCTCAGATCACTCGTCTGTCTCCAATCTGTTTGATATTGTTAAGTTTCAGAAAGTGAACAACTGAGCTCCGAATGCATCAGAGAAAGCAGCTTGTTTACTACTACCTGAACTTTCTGGATTTGTGATAGAATTGCGCGCAACGGGTCATACTCACTTCTTTTACCAGTACTCTTGTTTAAGTGAGATTTTCAGTTTGCTCGACCCAATACCGAAATGCCCCTGTAATCGGTTGACTGGTGATGCTCAGTGATACGACAGCATACCGCAACAGTGAACGGCTTGAGTTTCCCAGCCCATGTGATAGAGCGTGCGCTGTACAACAACGTTCTGTTTGGCAGTGTACGGATCATATGCAACCGATTGAACGAGGTCATCTGGTAATTTATGAGTATTCCATTTGCCTTATTCCACTGAACGGAAATGTGCTTTTTGTAGAGTTGAACTAGTTGTTAAAACTGCAACATCATACAGTGGAGTACATTGAAGTGAACTCCATTGATTGCTGCCAATCTCACAATGCATACAAACTGAGTGGGTGCTTGAGGCGGAAAAGATTTGGATCTATTTAAAGGGAGAGAGGAAAAGAAAACCGACCATTTCACACGCAGTTCTAAGTTGACCAGGCTCCACTCGCCTCCCGAATGACTAGAAATCATCACAGGTTTACCCATCCTCTTGTATCTAACACCGTATTTACAGTTTACTCTTGTAAAAACTGAACTGGAGTAAACTCTTGCACAACGAAATAGATCATTGCAATTGATTGGTTATCCCAATGAAGAACATCTGTCGTATGAGCAAAATTGTTAACAAATCAATCTACCCTTTTCAAATACTCGCTATCCTACCTAAAATTGTCAGGTGCAAACAAATAAAAAGAGGGAACGATGTATACGGGACATGTTGAGTTGTTTTGAGTAAACGCTAGTAAACCAATTCGCTAAAGATGAACCAATTATCCGGATATCTTAAAATCCCGGTGAGATAATACGGTTTTGTCTTTGAGAATCTGGCAGGGTCGGACCCAAACCGTGGTTTGCTTTTCTCGTCACGGGTTATTTTACCGACTTTCAACTCCAGTGTAAAAAATATGATCTTAAGATGTCCGTATCAGGGAAACTGGAGATTCTTACTCGCGCAAATTTTCTCTAACATACTCATGTCTGCTTACGAAATTTTTGACTCTACAGCACAACGAGTTTATTTCCATTGGAGATGGCGACAAATTTGTTCACGTCCTCATTTTACGTGTTAAGCAGTTAACTAAACTGCTCTCCTCTGTTCTGTTCGTTCTAGTGTACTCCCTTCATGTGTCTCGATACCTCGAATCTTTCGGTGAACAGGCACATGCGTGCTCATTTACCCTGTTCTGCTTGTGATGATGCTCGTAAATTTTTATACAGTCTCTCGGTTATCTTTGAGCCAATCTTTTAATGGACATTTCGAATTGCTTTGTGGATTTTTACTTTTCACCTATTGTACTTTATGTGCACTTTTTCATTGACCTTTAATCTGTACTTGTAATCGCTGTACCAATGTGTCACACTTCTTTTAGTGTGATGAAAACTTGTCATGATTTACTTTTTTACATTGTCCAAAACTGTACCAAAAATTTCATTCCTCATGTTATGGCACTTAGTGGGTTTAAAGTCTGACGTTACAAAGATTGTTATATTTGATATCAATACCCTTCACAGGCAAAACGAGGAAACTTCAAATAGACCTTTGGTTTTAAGCTTACTCAAGACGAATTGCTCGTTCTCGTTGGTAGCGGTTAGCTGAAATTGCCGCTCCTTGAATTCCATGAATTGGGGATAGGGGCCAGCAGTATAGCACAACTAAGTTTTCAACTGACAATGGTTAGTGCTGCACGCAATTGATCTTAAGCGTCACTCATGACGCCCTAAGAATACTGGGTCGGTCTTGATTTGAAAGGCGAGCAAGCGAAATATTGAGCCGTCTTTCTGTTTCAGGTTGATGCTGGTCCTAGGTTAACATCCGAAGTTATGGCGGTAATTCTCAGGTGCTTTTGGGGTCCCCCGACTGTCTTTCACTTGCAGCTGCTCTTCATTGCTACCCCTGTGGTGTTAATTTAGTGCGTTAATCGCATACCACTGTAAACCATGAATCCATGAAGTGCAAAATATATAAGCCTTGATGGAAAGCTTTTGCTCTTTGCTAGTTTTTCTACTTGTCTGCATCTCCACTGTCTTTTTGTTGATGTCGATTTTCTTTCTTCACAGAGCCGACTGGGTGTATAGCACAAGTTTTATTGATTCAAATTTTATTGTGCTCCGTGTCCTTCACATCATAGTCCTGTCTTGATTTTCAGTTCGTTTTCTTTTCATGTTCTTCAAATGTCATCATGGACCCTTTTTGTTATCCTGATCGCGTACTTCGTTTGATTCTTCCTAACACGGTAATTTTAGGGGCAGTAGCCGCCGTCGTCGCCGTTCCTACAGTGACAGCGGAAGTGAAGGTTGTATGGATGGCTACAGCTCTTCCGTAACAGGCGGAGGGAGTGGCGGCCGTCACCACCGGGATCGTAGCAATCGTTCAAGATCCCGTGACCGTCATGATCGGCACGAGCGCCATGACCGACATCGGCGTTCACGAGATCGCGCATCCAATAGCAGCACCAGCTACTATGGAACGCAGTCATCCGGCCTACAACTACCTAATAGTGGTAGTTTATCAGGAGTTGCTCTCTCAGGACTGGGATCGGGACAAGGCAGCGGTTCTGGCAGCACAGGCAGTACATCTGATCGCTATCGAGATTCACGTTACCGTCATTGAGTCTCCCTCTCGACCGTTTCTCGCTTCCCATCTGACATTCACTATTGTGTATCATTCGCCCTTGAATCATTTCCACCTGTTCATATTCTAACTTTCAATCTTTATACGCCTGTGTGGGATCATCCAAAGCACGCATTAGACCTGAAGGTCAATCGCTCAGGCAAGTCTTATTCTTATTGTGGTTTTTATGTAATGGAGCTTGTACAGTTTGTTCCCCCTTAAATCGCACAATGTACATTTACCCATCGTGGTTTACTCTCAATATTTGTTTACGGTTTATCCGGATACTTGTACATAAGATTAAGTCGCCCGGTTGGACAGTATTTTTGTCGTTTGCGTTCTCTTATGTGAAGTCCCAAGCTACTAATGCTTCCCCACCCGCCTCATGAATAGCGGATAGTGCCTTCCTAGTTGTGTCGACCATCGATCCGGTTTTATCGCTATCCGATGAAGGATTCCATCGAAAGTGAAACAAGAACTGATATCATTTCCCTTGTACATACACCCAAACAAAAATACGGTTTTACATCCAAAGAATTGGGGAACGATCGGTTTTTGTCATCAGTCATCTTTTACATTTGTGTACGGTAGAGAACAAACCTCTCTTTTGGTTTTATACGATTTGTACATTCGCCTATCACATTTACTTTCTTGCAATATATGCATTTGATCAGTTTGAGTCTACCCCTCTTGTCTGTCAGTAAATCGCGGGTTTAGTTGCAAACCGTCGTGGCTTTAATCATATTTATATCAATTTCGCCCATAAACATAAACGGCTCTGCTTATTGTCTTTCTTGTTTGATTTTCAGACGTCAGAGCACCAGGAAGACAAAATCGAGGGGTTCCTCGCTCCAATATCTTTCTAGTTTATTTCACGAATATATGTTATCGTTTGATGTTCCTTCTTTTCATACTCGTTAAAAAATTCATTTTTTTAACGTCAAGTCAAATATTGCTCGGTTTAGATAAAACAGCTGTCCGGCGTGTCCCGGGTGGTGGTGCGATTATCTACGACTGTTCATAACTTGAAGTTAGTATGCCTAGATTTAGTACCTGGCTGGAGACGTGAAACTCCCATTGTATGCAAGAGTATTTTAAGTTTAACTAGAGGTGCTTGCAAATTTGATGTTTTTTAATCTTCTGTTTTACTTACTTGTTTACGATGATACCGCTAGGAATACCAAGGACCGAACTCATTCTCTAAACAACCTTATCTTCGAATGCTTGCCGTACTTTGAGGTTGCAGCCCGGAAAGCATTGCCTAATGATAAGTTTTTCGCTGGCGCAAGTGGCGAACTTCAGTATTCGAGAGCCTGAGCGTACCTCCTGGTTTACTTCCGAAAAAATTTCTAGACGATTTTCTGCGACAAACCAATATGTAGCCTAATTTTCAGTTTGGGGATGAGAACACAAGAAGTTGGGAGTAATCATCAAAATGGGAAAAATAGCTGGTAAGATCACAAGGTGGGTGCTCCTGTCGTAATCTTTTTCGTCTCCAAAAGCTTTCCGCGATTGTGTGATGTAGAGAAAACCAACATTTTCTACGTGATTTGTCAACAGATGACTCCCGTCAGGTTCGCAGAATAGCTTTAAGACTAGCTGTATCAGGAGCCCCACTTAATCCTAGTGGATCACACCCCATCAGTTATCTGGGCCAGGTTATGATATCAAGTGACAGTTGGATCTGTTAGCTGAAACCAAAAGAACCGGTGNTTCTTGGTTTCTGGTTTTTTGACCCCAGTAACTAAAACGAGCAACATGAAACGCAAGTCTTGGAAAAACGAAGCTTATTTGTGAGGTCATAAGCACATTTGCATCCACTGAGAAGAAAAGCAGATGAGTTATTTCTGTACAGGGTAACGTATTTGCTTACTACAAAATAATTCTAGTCGTTACTGTATTTTTAACTTCCGCCATCAATGGGGCCTCATCGACTACAGTTCGTTACTCGCGTCATAACTGAATCATTATGTTCTACTCTGCCTCTAGGCGACATCAGTGAGCCGCCATAATCCGTGACTCCTTTGCTGCCTTTCTACCTTCTGTGGGAGATATCCACAGAAAACTAAACTCATGATAACGACGCGAATTCATCTGCTTCAAACCAGGGATTTCACAACTAAAGTACGAACATATCACGCAAATGAAGGGGCAGCTGTTAAGCGTTTCCAATTTTCATGTCGCACATAGAACAACAAAAAGCATATGGAGTGCTTGGGGACTACCGTACCATCAAGTGGTGTAGCCGCACGACTCATCTGGGTAAAATATTCCCAGGTACTCGGGCTCGAATAAGGTTTCTCGTCCAAATAGCAACAGAACAGCCAGAAGCATCAAGGAACTGACGCAATATACCAAAAGCATGCTTACTTATGGGAAAAGGAAGGACAAGGGAACGCACGTCTTTGATGGTTGGTTCACTGGGTTGTCAATCTTCCTGATTGGTCGTGGATTCTGACCTGCCATCTGAATCCACTTATCCTTTATCCGATTATGTTGCGTCTGTCAGTCTATCATCGAATCGTGTGCCGCGAGGTGTTGACCAA